TGATTTATTCTTAGTGAATTTCCCAGTCAACGTAATCGTGACAGACAGAGTTACCTGCAGGACCTACTGTAAAGATGTTTAATTATGGCGCTGTCATTCTCCTTCTCAAGACTGACTACAGATCTGCATTCAAATCAGACAAGTGTTCAAAAGCAGGTGAAATATAGCAAATTCTTGAAATGGCATGGCGAGCTGAGCTCTGGTTCTTTTACCATTTCATGTTATTCTGCTCTACCTCAGTGAAACCCCGAGAATGCAAAGAAACCTTTTCTCCAGGCTTTTTGTTTTATCTTCATTTGAAGGTTCAGTGGAAATTCAGCAGCTGCTCAATCCAAGAAATCTTTCGTGATCATATTTGCAGTGTATGAAAGGAGCAGAAAGCCATTGTTGGCAGCTCATTGTTACTTATTAAACATGAAATGTGAGTACAAAATTGGGTTTTTAAAGAAAGGAGTTGAAAAGGAATTAAAAAAAACAACTTAATAATTTTCATGCACAGTGCAATCTAATCACGAGCGGTCTTTCTGGCTCTGTGTGTATATTTTTCCAGTGGCCTCTGTCAGTTTTTGCTTTATTTTGTTCCAGCCTTCGGCCTTCTTAGATTTGTATTCATAAATCATTATTAGGATGTAATTACTGCGTATGCTGCAAGTCGAAGCAACTGTGTCATCTTTGAGAATCCCTGCTGTTTCTGGTGCTTGCGTGATTTGAGGGACTTGTTATCAATTCTGTTATTTTACAGTGAGAGATTTCAGGATAATAATAATTGGATGTTCACTAGCTCTGTTCTAGAACCAAGCTAGCAGCCTTGGTGTCTACTTCTTAAATAGGAAGCATCCAAACAAAACTGATTTAGGATTTATATTTTTAATGCTTCTGAAAGAAGTCTCTTCTGCTCACCAAGACTGAATTTATTTGATAAAAATACAGTAAAAAAAAAAGCAGTAATATTGTGAAATATTATTATAATTTAACAAGAAGAAAATGGAAGTATTGATCTGTTCTGCCCCTGTGATTTCTTCTGCTGAGTGTTCAAACAGTGATATTTATGCAGGTGGTCCCAAAGACCCACTAGCTGTGCAAGGTTGGAGAAAGAGAGAGAGAGAGAGAGAGGAAAGCAAACGATGCAACATAAATTGTCAACTGCTGAAAGAGACGGGTAAAGTCTGCCTGACCCTAAAAGGTAAATAATTCTGCAGAAAGGTATCTGTTCACATTCTCTCCCAATTTGTAATCTGGGGGGGTTGGGGGGACAGTCACACATTTTGTTTTTAAGTGCCATTAGGGAGGGGTTTACCTGAAATACTGTAGTTGATATTACAATAATAAAAAAAAAAATATTCAGAATTGCTGTCCATCCAAAAGTAATGAATTAGTTCACAGTCATGACTCAAAAACTAAGCAGAATTTGTAAATCTGTGTACCTGTCTTTCTACTGAGTTCCTCAAATAAAACTTAAATATATTTTGCAACTAACCTTGGTATTCACCTTTGACCTATTAATAATCTCCGGAGTCAATATGCCATATGGTTTTATCATATTTAGAATTCCAACATTGACCTGTGACCTTTTAATTAACTCCGGCTGTCAAAATGACATATGGTTTTAGTATATGTGGAATTAAAATGGTGTATTCCTTAAATTATTTTGATATTGTTTGTACATCATTAGATTTGGCTGATACCTTCTTGCCTCACATGAAAGTAGAGTGACCATGAGATGGAATGAGGCTGGATAGCCGCATGTGGTCAACAGATGCAGCCGGATGTAAAATGACAAAAATGAGCCTGGGGGCTTCAGATTTGGCCTGTTAAGGTTCAAAATCAATCAGTCTTCATATTGCACCCCCAGAGGTCACGGGTCAATGACAGCATTCCACATATACTGAAATCATATGTCACACTGACAGCCAGAGATGATTAAAAGGTCACGGGTTAACGTTGGAATTCCAAATATGCTAAAACCCTATGGCATATTGACCCCGGAGATTATTAATAGGTCAAAGGTGAAAGCAACATGGGTGGTCCAAGGTCAAGGGGTCAAACCCCTCAGGGCAAAAGGACGGATGTCATCATCAAATAAGTTGACAGGAAGTACAGTATAGTGACTACTCACGTTTACTTAGAATCACAGCTGATGAGGCTAGATACACAACGTTACCATTTGCAGTTTTCTTATTTTTGCAATAATGTACACAGTATATTGTAACAATTTAGCAATACACATTTCCTCATGCAAATAAATCACACTAAACCAAAGCTGAATTTATGTGTGAAAGAATGAGCAAGACAGCAAAAGAAAAAAAGATAGGGTTGGTGCTCATTCGCTGACTAACTGCCCTCTCTGACAGAGGAATACTAAACTGCATTTCATCTTCTCTTGACTTTAATGAGGCTCACTAAAGATGCTCCGAGCAAAGACAGGGCAAGGTATGCTTGGTATCCTTGTCACCGGATATGCTTGTTAAAAAATATATATATAAATCCACCCATTTCTCCCCGTCTCCATAAAGACCCCATCCTAAAGTTCGGACCCCCAGATATCTTAAACATTCAATTTTGGGACCCTCTGAAATAGTAAAGACAGGGCAAAGAACAGTTACGCTAGTTTCCACGCCACACATTTTAAATGCTGGATGGAGTCTGAATAGATTGGACACCACACATGAAACATGGGAGAATGAAAAACTTGTTCCACACTCCCAGGTTTGAATATTCACTTTAACTAGGCAGTAAATGTATAACTTGCAAATTTTGCCCTTTCAAACAAGATTACACCAAAACCACCCTTTAACTTGTGATATTTTTCCGGTTACTGTACCAGCTGTGGCAACATGTTAATACGTGTGCTGCAGGTATAACTACTGTAACAGACCACAAATTATCCAGTATGTTAAGCTACCATTGGGATACATAAAACCAGTCTTTACATAGGTGACCTTTTTAAATGGCATTAGTAAATGACCAGAGAACAAAAGGCACTTAGATGAGGCATGTAGCCCGATTTAAGGCTGCACTGCAGCAGCAAGTTTGGCATTTAAACTGAAGTGTTCAAAACACCACAAATAAACATTTATATTAAACAATTTATTGCTTCAAAAGTTAGATTATTAAAAGCACAGATGTATACCATTTAGCACTGACATTCCACAGCACAAATGTACATGGCAGTCCCTTAGCCCTTGACAGATGAGAAGTATCGTCCTGTAGCAGAGGAGCTTTGGGATGGTTTGGAATAGCCTGAAGGTTTCTGGCCATAGGTGGAACTGGACTGACCAGAGAATATACCTTGTAAAGCTCCTTGGACACTTGAGCCAAGAGATGAAGTCATGGAGTCTGAGGGGTGTTGAACTGAAGCAGACAGACCAGGAGATATTTGGCTATGGATTTGGGAGCCAGAAGCAGCCGGAGCTGAGAGCTTAGAGGGTCGTTGTCCTACACCAAAGAAGCTTGAGATCCTCAGAGGACTAGAGATGGAACTCTGGCTACCCTGGGCCACAGAAGGGCTCAGGGCTGGCAGGAAGGTAGATCCACTGGAAGTCTGAGAGCTTTGAGGGGAAGATCTGCTCTGATGTACACCTGTACCAGAGGCCTGAAACTCTTGGCTCCAAGTAGAGGCTGAAGGCTGCCATTTTTGAGATGCCTCTGAGCCAGTAAAGGAGGATCCACCTGAAGAAGCCTGAGTGTATTGACTGGACACAGAAGGGGGATACTGGTTAGAGGTACCTTGAAACTGGAAAGATGATCCCTCAGTAAAGGTGCTTCCTGTCTGAACAGGCATAGGACTAGAACCTGCCAGCTGAGTTACAGCCATACTCGGGGAGCTTGACGCATACAGGCCAGAAGAGTTTGGATCACTTGTAGATTGGCTAGAAACATCGAGAGAAGACCCAGGGCTATACTGACTTGAGGTACCTTGAGACAGGCTGGAAAAGCCACTATATTTGCCACTTCCTTCTTGTTTGGAGGCAAAATGACCAGGACCTGCTGCAGAGGTAAGTGTAGAGAAGCTACTGGGAGCCTTGGAGCGAGAGCTACTCTGCGATGCCACTGTACCAGAGGTCTGAAAACCTTGTGACCACCTTGAGGAAGTTTGCCATGGAGATGGTTGGCTCCGAGACAATGAGGGTCCACTTAGAGCCTTACTGTACACAGGCACTTTAACATCCAAAGGAGAACGTGCATTCTGACTAGAGGTACCTAGCAGCTGCAGAGATGAGCCATCAGTAGAGGTGCTTACTGACTGCACAGGCACATACGGACTAGAGCCTGCCAGCTGGGTGCCAGACCTGCTCTGGGAGCTTGATGTATACTTGCTGTAGGTGCTCGGACCACTGGCAGATTGCCTAGAATCATCAAGCAGGGAGAAACCACGCTTAATATATGCAGGGGACCCAGGGCTATACAGAGTTGAGGCACTTTGAGACCGGCTGGACAAGCCACTATATCTACCACTTCCTTCTTGTTTGGAGGCAAATTGGCTGGGACTTGCTGCTGAGGTAAGGGTAGAGAACTTGCTGGGAGCCTTGGAACCTTGAGAGGGAGAGTTACTTTGTGATGCCACAGCTCCAGAGGTTTGAAAACCTTGGGACCATTTAGAGGAAGGCTGCCATTGAGATGGTTGGCTCAGAGACAATGAGGGTCCACTTGGGGCCTTACTGTACACAGGCACTTTAACATCCAAAGGAGAAGGTGCATACTGGCTAGGGGTACCTTGAAGCTGGAGGAATGAGCCATCAGTAAAGGTGCTTGACTGCACGGGTGCATGGTGACTAGAGCCTGCCAGCTGAGTGCCAGCCCTGCTCTGGGAGCTTGATGTATACTGGCTGTAAGAGCTTGGTCCACTGGTTAACCGACTAACACCTAGGGGTGAGGCAGCAAGCTTGGCATATGCAGAGGACCCAGGACTATGCTGACTTGAGGTACTTTGAGACTGCATGGACAAGCCATTATACCTGCCACTTCCTTCCTGTTTGGAGGCAAATTGGCCAGGACTTACTGCTGAGATAGATAACCTACTGGGAGCCTTGAGATGGAGAGCTACTCTGTGATGCCACTGTACCAGATGCCTGAAAGCTTTGCAACCACCTAGAGGAAGGCTGCCATTGAGATGGAGGGCTCAGAGACGGAGGGGAACTACTTGGAGCAGCTTGACTGTACAAAGGCACTTTTGCATCCAAAGAAGCCAGGGCATTCTGGCTGGAGGCATGTTGAGACTGCACAGAAGAGCCATCAGTAGAGCTGATAGAACCACCTGCAGAAGACAGTGAAGAGATCCTACTTGGAGACCAAGAACTGCTCTGTGATGTACCAGATCCTTGTGACACTGCCTGAAATCCTTGGGTCCTTGAGGCTGAAGGCTCCTGAGACAGTCGGCTTTGAGATAGAGAACCACTCCGAGTTGCTTGATAGTACTGACTGGACAGAGGCAGTTTTGCACCCAAGGAAAAAGTTTGAGCATGCTGGCTAGTGGTATCTTGAGGCTCGACAGATGAACCATACCGAATTCCCTGTCCAGGTACAGGATGATGGGAAGCTGCCAGCTGAGTGCCAACTCTGCTCTCTGAGCTTGGTGTATACTGGCTGTAAGAGCTCTGATCAGTGGTAGACTGGCTAAAATCTAGGGGGGAGGCAGCAAGCTTGGCATATGAGGATCCAGGGGTATCCTGACTTTCAGTACTTGGAGACTGGGTGAACAAACCACTTGCAGAAACAAGCTGGCTGGAACCTCCTGCCAGTTGTGACCCAGAGCTGCCCTGATAAGTAGTAAAGAAACGGTGGGAACTGCTTGAGGACCCTGTGGAAGAGCTACTCTGTGCAGAAAGCAGACTAGAGGTTCCTCCCAACTGAAGGCCAGAGCTGCTCTGAGTGCTTGTAGACATGTTTGAGGAGCTTTGATCACCGGTGGGTGGGTCAGAAACGTCAAGAGGCGGGAGACCAAGCTTTGACATGGACAAGCCACTGGAACTACCACCTCGTACTGGTGTGGAAGAGAGTTGAGCAGAAACTCTTTGCAGTCCAGAGCCATACTGAGAAGACTGGCTATAGGAACCTGGTCCACTAGTAGACTGGTTAAATACATTCTGGGCATTTGGACTGGAGGAACCCTGGAGTTGTAGCAGTGATGAAATGCTGTTCAAGACACTTGGTGCACTTTGGGTATGAGACATAGATCCATAGCTGCTGGAAAAGCCTCCTTTTACATACAGATGTGAAAGGGAAAATAGAGGCCTGCTGGCATTCGGTTTCTTCCCAGCAAACATATTAGAGGCCACTTCTTCAACAGGAATGCTTCCAGTCACTGGAGCCTCCAACAGAGAAGACTGGACTTCCCTAGGGGAGAAGAGCTTGTGGACCGACCAATTCTGAGGCTGAACATTCTGAGAAATCCAACCTAGAGAACATAAGCACAATGAATAAGAAGAGTATTGACATACATGTATATAAAATTACAACTGTTTGTTATCATAAAACTAATTTTATCAACGTGACACTCACCTTTATGTCCAAGAGCATGTTTCAAGAAAATCAAGAAAACCAATAAGTGGACCCTGGGGAGAAAGAAAATGTAGGATATCAGACCGAATCAGACAATGTAAGATTTGATAAAGAACAGTTGAAACACGAGGAGCCCAAATTCCACAGAGGCCCAAGACACAGGATGTCGTAAATCAGATCCTGGCCCCACAAGCCGGAACCAACCAGCAGCTTTGAGTAGCTCACAGCATTTAAACAAAAGAACACTTATTGACAATTCCAAGGAGATTGTCAATTTTGGGGGCAAGTAATCAAGATTAAATGGTCAAAGAGATGACCGCATGACCATCACGTGATAGTAACTACAATCACAAGCGCTTTGGAATTGACTTCCCCCACCTCGACCACAGAGAACAGACTGAAATTCATTAGAAATGCACATTTGTACACAAAAGTCTTTATTTCATGTGTTTCAACATTGGACTCTTTAAAATATTACCCATTATACTAAGACATTGCAAATCCTTTAAACCAACAGTGCAGATTGCTTGAAGGATTTTAACTGAGCTCATATGCTATTATAGTAGACCTACATGCATTGTCTATTCTTAAGGTTTAAGAAAATATCTGCATATGCATAACTCACAGTTCACAAAAAAAGAAAAAAAAGAAAAACATAGTTTTTTTTTCTTAACAGTGCCATTGTAGATATACACTATGCACAGGAGGGTCCATTTAATTAATTTCACAATATTAAAATAACTGTTTTCTTTTTTTAAATATTTAAAAAATGTAATTTATTCCTGTCTTGCAGAGTTGAATTTTCAGCATCATTACTCCAGTCTTCAGTGTCACACGATCCTTCAGAAATCATTCTAATATGCTGATTTGCTGCTCAAGAAATATTTCTTATTATTATCAGTTGAAAACTGTTGTGCTGCTTAATATTTTTGTGGAAGCCATTTTTCAGGATTATTTGATGAATAGAAAGTTCAAAAGTACAGCATTTATTTGAAATAAATATTTGTAACATATATTTGTGACTTTTGATCAATTAAATGCTGAATAAAAATTGTTTTCAAAAAATATTACTGAACCCAGATTTTTGAATGGTAGTGTATGCGTACAATTAAAACATTTTGAAAAGGGCAAAATATTGTTATTTTTTTATTTTACTCTATTTACTGATAATGTAAATGATTCCCTTTGAGCTAAATTGACCTGTTTCCCTTACAAAAAATATGACAAATTTGTATAATACATGTAACTGAGAACACTGCAAAATAAAACAAACATTTAACTAACCGCTTCCACCCCTGATCCATAGCAGAAAAAAGACACTAACAAAACAGCTTTGTTGAAAAGTGATTCTGCTATTCCAAACAACAACAAAAAAAACTATTACAACCAGTACAACTACACATCTAGGCTGGCATTTGTCTTTTATAAGCCTGTTTGTCCAATCAGCTCACATGTCAAATTACATAAAATACTGTTCACCTGTGAACACTTAGCTGGATATTTGATGACTGAATTTGCCAAGTAATTAAATACAATCACCCGTCTCATCCATTCGCAGCCATTACACACCCCATAAGGACTGCGCCACAAAGCATATTTATGTGGCTACCTGAAAAAGAAAAAAAAAAACATATATATATATCAGCACACTACAGACATATATTTAGACCACCCTGGCAGACACATTATAAATGCACATTTGTACACAAAAGTCTTTATTTCATGTGTTTCAACATTGGACTCTTTAAAATATTACCCATTATACTAAGACATTGCAAATCCTTTAAACCAACAGTGCAAATTGCTTGAAGGATTTTAACTGAGCTTATACGCTATCATAGTAGACCTACATGCATTGTCTATTCTTAAGGTTTAAGAAAATATCTGCATATGCATAACTCACAGTTCACAAAAAAAGAAAAAAAAGAAAAACATAGTTTTTTTTTCTTAACAGTGCCATTGTAGATATACACTATGCACAGGAGTGTCCATTTAATTAATTTCACAATATTAAAATAACTGTTTTCTTTTTTTAAATATTAAAAAAATGTAATTTATTCCTGTCTTGCAGAGTTGAATTTTCAGCATCATTACTCCAGTCTTCAGTGTCCCACGATCCTTCAGAAATCATTCTAATATGCTGATTTGCTGCTCAAGAAATATTTCTTATTATTATCAGTTGAAAACTGTTGTGCTGCTTAATATTTTTGTGGAAGCCATTTTTCAGGATTATTTGATGAATAGAAAGTTCAAAAGTACAGCATTTATTTGAAATAAATATTTGTAACATATATTTGTGACTTTTGATCAATTAAATGCTGAATAAAAATTGTTTTCAAAAAATATTACTGAACCCAGATTTTTGAATGGTAGTGTATGCGTACAATTAAAACATTTTGAAAAGGGCAAAATATTGTTATTTTTTTATTTTACTCTATTTACTGATAATGTTTTTGCATCTGTGTAGGAATTATACAAATAGTGGTGAGACACATTATAAATCCTGACAGTCTCTCATCACACACGTTGCCATCTAAAAAAAAAAAAAAAAAGCTTAAAAAATAAACTTTACTGTAACTTTTTGTTTTGTTTTGTTAGAAAAGTTTAATAATTAGGCTTAAAACCTGTTGCAACATTGAATATAAAGATGCATGTTTTTTTGTCAAAAATGTCTTTTTTTTTTCTCTTCTGTCGTTCTTGTCTTCTCAACACAGGAAGTTTACTTTCTGTCAGCAGCTCAGCACAAAAGCTGTGCCAGGCACGACTTTGGTCATGAATATGGATTACATTATTTGATGTTTCCTTAATTTGCTGAACAGCAGATGTTGCTAGGTAAGTCCTAGTTGTGGGATTATCGTTTAGTGCTTACATGCTTGTTTATTATTTTCCCCTGCATGTGACCAAGCAAACTTATGCAAAAAAATATAATGATGATTTTCCAAAAAGTGTGTTGGGGGAGAATTAGGTATTTTTTTCATGTCAGGTGTGCACATAAATGCTCACAATGCTGTGTAGGTCAGAAGCTCACTATAGGTTTTGGAAAAGACTGTATTCAATAGCTGTAAACATGGGAGACATTTTATTTGTATCCTATTGGTTTCCACAGGCACATGACATCACAGATCCCATTGAGTTTGCAGGCTCACTGAAGTAACGGTTTCATTTATGACTCAAAGCTGTCTTACAATAACGTTCTATAACAGGTTTCGCTTATAAGAAATGAGGGCAATGCTGCTGTAAGGAGATAAGACATAACCATACATTTTCCCTTTGACATGGAAATACAGGAGCACAACGCTTTCTTGGACTCGTGTGACTGTAGCTGATTGACTCATATACAGCTTAGACTGAAGACTAGTGCACTGTTACAAAGCCATTAAATATCTCACGTCATTCAAATGAAATGTGTTAGAATGTAAATGCAAAACAGCCTCAAATTCATTTGAAACACCTTTGGACTCTTTTGCATTTCATGTATCCTAAATGGAGACAATTAAATAATATTCTGCCTTTTTTTTTGGCATTTTGAAAAAAAATACAACTTTATTGGAAATTATATAGAATTAAATATATATATATATATACAAAAACAAGTTGATTTAAATTAATTTTAATGCTTCACACAGTCTATATAGTTTTTTTTTTTTTTTTGATGAGTTCATTGAAGGTAATCATAATTTTAAAAAGTGATAATATTTTTATGATTTCATTTTTGTATTTCATTTTTCTTTATCAAATTATAAAAGTCTGAACAGTATCAAAAATAAAGGCATTTAAAAAAGTTCCAAGATAGCTTTAATGTGACCTTCTAACTAAAACAAGAAAGCTGAAATCTGTCAGTTTTCATAAAAAGAAACTGAGATATAAGTGCTTGTAGATTTTTGGGGAATGGATCAAGCCTGGTTAACTGCTGTACAATGAGATGAATAACAGCCTGTGGTCTATTAGACTCTATAAGTCAAAGTGCTCAGTTCTAGCTCTTAAGTCCAAAGGCCATTTGCCTTATTACATTTTTCATTATAGATTTTAACTAAGATTATCATCATAGTTATAGGGATTCTGTCCACATGGTTATCAATGGGGGATTTGATAATTGGAAAATTAGGATTGGCGCTGTTCATTAGATTTAATCGTATTATTCTCTTATAGACCATTAAACGGATGATGTCATATTGTCAAGAGAAGAACTCATCAGCAATGAGCTGATCTCATATGTTCACACTTACGCTGATAATGAGAGGACTTGACACAAGTGTGGAAGTGATTGGAGAAAGACATTTCAGAGGCTTTGAAGGCAGAAATGACTACTGATTCATCGGATGGTACTTGAATAGAAGATTTGTTATCAGGTTCTACAAGTGACAAATATGAGTAAATAAAAAATACTCTAGAAAACTCTGAAATGTACAATTAGTTTATCTTGAATGACTAATATGACTTTTTTTTTTTTGTCCCAGCAGAACTCCGTGTAGCAACACATATGTGGAATATTCCCATCACGAAGCCTGAAAAACAAATGTACGAGGAACAGACTCACAATAGGTCAGTGAAATAATGCCACTGCGACAAACAACCAATATGGCAACTCAAAACCATAGAGGGCTAAACAAGCAAATATATTAATATTAAAAGTTAATCTGAACTTATTTTGAACTTATTTGTTTGAGTTTATGAGACAAAGCCATTGGTAGGGCATGTCCTGTGTCCAGAGATGTTTAAAACTGTGGCAGATGCTGTCAGATGCAAAGAGCATTGAGTGGTTAATTGGATTATTTCTGTACCAGCAAGTCAAAATAAAAGCACATCTAATTTGAAAGTCAGGTAGGTCTAAATTTAGTTTGTGTTTTCAAGACACTTGAGGTTTTTCTCTTTTCTTTCACTGGAGACCTAGTGACTACAAGAGAATAACAAGTGAGAACAAAGTGTCTTTACATGATCCTACAATTATTTGTACTTTTCCACCAGATCAGTGCTAATGCAGGAACTTTTGCGAAAGCCAAGCGTCAACAGTTTTATAATCTTGCCTTCTAATTGCATTTTGTCCCAAAACTCTACATATAAATTGATTGCAGAAATGTTTTTGCAAGGCAGGGAGGAAGCAATTGGAAAAAAGCTTAAATATTATAAAGTTCTCCAAAACTTTATCACAGTTTTTGAGAAGGATTACCCAAAAGTTTTTAGCTTGTGTCTTATGTCTTAACCCCTAGCGCAAATAATTCATAATATTATCTAACGAATGATTCACCATATTAGATTTATCCATCAAGGGAAGAACTCACAAAAGAAACACTGGAAACCTCTTGATCTCAAGACATTAAAAAATCAATAGACTTATTAATTTAATTTGGCAGGTAAAGAGAGTTGTGGTCTTACATTCTTGAAAAGTACATCAAAAGATTTAAAAAATATATATATTTAGTTTGATTGACCTCAGTGGAGAAAGTTCATTCTGTAACTTTGTAAGTACAGAATGCTGCAATATATGCAGTTCTCACCAACACATTCCCACACAGAGGCTGCTTTTTTGCATCAGACTTGTTGTATTTGATCAAATGCATTATTTATTATCAAATCAAAAGTTTAAAGTCAACATAAAATGGCATTAGCCCATTTTAGTTCTGAGTTTCTAAATGAAAGTAAATGAACCAGTGAGGAAAACACATTGTAGAGTGGGACATTATTTTACTCAGCAGAAATTGACTGGATTTAAAAAAAAATGTGTTTATATGCCAGCTAGTTGGAGGGAAGAGTTGACTTGAAATGAAAAATTAGATGTGGAGAATATTATTACGTTTTAATAAAATATTATAAAGACAAACCTCGTAATAATAAGGCTAGGAATATGTATTAAATTAAACAGAGTCATTTTGACTAACATACAGTAATGTATTTCTTTCTTGATGGACGCAGTTCACACACAGCGGTATGGTAAGGTGAATCCTGGCCTGAAAAGCAAAGACTGGACTTTGGGAAGGAAATGTCTCATGGGGTTTGAGAGAATGTTTTTTTTTTTTTTTTTTATTAAAGTTTCATGTATATTTAAATCCTCCAACAATTACATTCTTGGCTCAAACCTACTGCATTTACAGAGGCCAGATTTTGAGGCTTGACTAACAATTTAAAGAGATGCTAAATCTCTCATTTATTATTAATTAGAATGCTGATGATTAAATGCAGGGCTAGTTTTGCGTGTATAGAATCTTTTGGGCTTCTTTTAATAAAAGAAATGCAAATGTGTGCTCTGTTAAAGCACGTTTTAATTATAGTACATTTGCTTTTGGATATTAAATGCTAAGAGATTCTAAAATCTTTCATTTTGCATGCACGCAAACTTCTACTTCAAATTGCACTTTTAGACTTGGTGATTAACTTGTCCTTGAACC